AGGCGCCCCGGCGCGTCGTCCTCGGCGGTCCAGCCCCGCGCGCGCTGCGACGCCCAGGGCAGGAACCCCAGCGCGTCGCCGTCGTCGCCGCAGGCCTCCTCGGGCGTCCGCCGGGGCGACGCGGGCGGCGACGGCGCCGCGTCCGGGCCGTCGTCGTCGTCGTCGTCGTCGTCGCTGTCGCCGTGGAGCGCGCCGCCGTGGGCGTGGACGCGCCGCGGCCGGAGCTCGTCGGAGACGTCGCCCGTGAACGACGGCCGGCACTCGGACGACGGCTGCTCGTCGCTGAGGTAGCGGTACTTGAAGCGGATCGCCGCCAGGAGCTCCAGTTCCCGGTGCGCGTACTTCCGCAGGAGCGCGTCGATGTCGCCGAGCTTCTTCGGGTTGTGCTCGCCGTAGAGCTCGGCCATCTCCGCGCGCACGCGCCGCAGGAGCGGCGCGCGCTTTTTCCGCCGGAACGCGCGGAAGCTCAGCGCGAGGACGTCGCGCTGCCGCTTCGACGACAGCGTCAGCCGGAGTTTGAGCGGCACGTCGTCGTCCTCGAGCGCCTCGCAGCGCTCCAGGAGGCCGGCGACGTACCAGAGGTCGCCGCCCGCGTCGCCCCAGAGCTTGAGGACGTGGACCGCGGCCGCGGGTCGGAGCTGGAAGACGCACTCGTAGCGCCCGTCCGCGGACGCGGGCTCGAAGTCGCCGTCCGGGTCGCAGCCGATCAAGACGTCGCCGTCGAGGCAGCCGTCCAACCGCAACCCCCGCGCGACGTCGGAGCGCGCGCTCTCGAAGACCAGGCTCTCGCCCGCCTCGTCGAGCGCCGCGGTCACCGCGGACCCGACGCTGCAGGACCCGGGCTCGCCGTCGGCGAGGAGCACCTGGAGCTCCGCGTCGCCGTCGCCGACGACCTCGTAGCGGCCCCGCGCCACCGCCGCCTCCGTCTCCTGGCGCACGGACTCCGCCGGCGCGACGGGCCCGTGCTCCGCCCAGCGGCAGAGCAGGTCGTCGTCGAGCGGCGCGACGCGCGCGTAGACCTTGCAGCCCACGTCCTCGGGCGCCGGCGCGTACCAGGCCTCGTCGGCGCCGTCGATGGCGCCGGGCTCGCCGTCCTCGACGGCCCGGTACCACCTGTGTGGAAACCAACCACTGGTTTGGGTGGTCCTGACCAAACTTGAGAATTCTCTAGCTCGGTCAAATCGAAGTCGATTCGGCTGATTTTTGGATGAATCGATTGCTCTCGTCGAGTTCTCGAAGCACAGCGAAAGAGTCTGGTCCAAATCGTTCGATTACGCGCACATTGAAGTCGGGTTGAAGATTTGATTTCCACACAGGGTACCACGCGACGCGCAGCTCGCCGCGCGTCCGGACGCCGCAGCCCGCGGGCTCGTCGCCGCAGAGCGCCACGAGCAGGCCGTCGCCGGCCCGCGCGATGCGCAGGAACCCCCGCGCGCGCAGGAAGTCCTCCGCGCGGAACCGGCCCCGCGGCCGCCGGCCGCCGCGGCCGCCGTCGTCGTCGCGGAACGACGTCGGCCGCGCGCCGAGGAACGACAGGCCCTTGCTCGGCGACAGCTTCCCTAGGAGCCCGCCCGCGTAGAGAGCACCGTGCGCGTAGGACCCCGGCTCCGGCGGGGACGACCCCAAATCGCGGGACCCCGGCTCCGGCTCGGGCTCGGGCTCGGCGGCCGGCTCGTCGTCCTCGGGTTCGTCCTCCGCCGCGGCCGCGGGCGCGTCGCCGCCGTCGAAGAGGAACTTCTCCAGGAGCCCCGTCGACTTCGTCGTCGTCTTCTTCACCATGCTCATGAGCAGGTCGCGCTTCCGCGCGCGCGGCCTCGGCTCGTCGCTCGACTTGCGCTCGTCGCTCGCCGACCGCGGCTCCGGCGGCGGATCCGGCGGCGCCGGTGCGTCGCGCGCCGCGGCCGAGGCGCGGTCCTCCGAGGGCCGCTCCAGCGAGGGCCGGGACCCGTCCGAGGACCGCGGCTCGTCGTCGTCGTCGTCGTCGTCGTCGAGGGTCTGCGGCGCCGGCTCGGGCCAGGCGTCCTGCGCCGCGCGGGACGGAGCGCTCGGAGGCGTCGACCGCGACCGGCGCTTGAGCCAGCCGAAGCGCGACGGGCTCGACTCCGTCGAGGTGGACCGGGCTGCCTCGTCGGGCCCACCCATCGTGCAGCCCGGAAGCTCGAGAGCGTTGGATGCACCATTGACATCGTCCAACGGAAACCATGTTACTGGATCACGTCCCAGGGCGCGAGGCCGCCGGACATGTCGTCGGCGTCGTCGTCGTCGACGACGCGCCGCGGCGGCGCGTCCTCCGCCGGCGCGGGCGCGCCGTAGGCGTCGTCGAGGAACGCGCCGTCGTCGCCGGCCGCGGCGGACGCGTAGGCGGCCCAGGGCTCGGGAGTCGCGGCCGCGGCGTCGCCCGCGCCGCCGAGCATGGCGAGCTCGCGCCAGCCGTCGTCGCCGCCGGCGCCGAGGTCGCCGCCGTAGGACGAGCCGCCGTAGCCCGAGCCCGCGAGAGCCGAGTACTCGGTCCAGTCGCCGCCCGCGGGCTCGTCGTCGTACTCGCGCCGCCAGCTCGGCGCGGCGTTGTTCTGCGTGTGGTAGTCGGGCACGTAGGCGTTCTCCCAGTCGTCGCTGAAGCGCGCCATGCTCGCGGCCATGACGTCGTCGTCGTCGTCGTCGTCGTCGTCGACGCCGGGCGCGCCGCGGCGCTTCTTCGACACGTCGACGACGAACTCGCCCGCGGCGCCGGCGTCGATGGCCTTGACGGACGTGCTGCACGCGCGCATGTAGCGCTCGTCGCCGTCCTCCGTGATCAGCGTGCACTGGCACGCGCCGCACAGACCGTTTCTGCACGCGCGCGGGATCTTCACGCCCGCGTCGTCGGCGGCGTTGAGCAGGTTCGTGTTCTCCCGCACCTCCGTCGTGACGTCGGCGCCCTCCTTCGTGTTGACGAAGCGGATCTTGATGGTCGGCGGGGCCGCCGTGGACAGGGCGTAGGTGGCGGCGGGGACGAGGGCGTAGAGCTTCATCCTTTGTCGTTTGTTCGAGACGCGGTCGTCGTGTGTCGGGCTGTGGTGGGGCGGCGTGCGGCGGGCTTGGCTTTTAAGGTCGTTGAGACACGCGCGGCTCCTGAATTTGCCGTCGCGCCGCAGTGGTGGCGGCGGAGTTCTTCCGCGCCAACGTTGACTGTGTGACGCAAACCACCCCTCGACGAGGCAGCCCATCGAGCATCTCCATGACATCGAGCGGGCCATGGCCGCCAATGAGGCCAAGATCCCCGACGAGGTAGCCGAACCGATGGCGGCCATGGAGGCCAAGATCCCCGACGAGGTGAAGAGCGACGACGCCGACGAGGTGAAGCGCGACGCGATGGCCGACGCCGAGGCCGACGAGGCCAGCGAGCGCGCGGCCTTGGAGGCCCAGGCCGTCGAGGACGCCGCCGCCGCGGAGGTGCGCGCGCAGGAGGCCGAGGACGCGCTCGCCGTGAAGCTCGCCGAAACCTCGCGGCCGCGATCGCCGCCGCCGTGGCAGTTCTCGGCGCACGTCGTCGTCCACGTCTGCTGCGTCTCCGGCGCGGACCTCGGCCGCCCGACGGTCCTCGAGCTCGAGACGGTGCAGCTCCACGTCGTCGTGGGCCTCGCGGACGGCGAAAACGTCGCCTCCGAGGACCGGACGCTGGCCGTCGAGGCGAACGTCGAGGCGAAGACGGGCGCCTGGGGCGAGGCGGACGGCACCGTGCGCTTCGTCGTGCCGCGAGTCGAGACCGCGAGCCTCCGCTTCGCGCTCTACCGGGCCACGTCGACGGCCGGCGGCTGCGACGACTGCTGCCACGCCGCGTTCCTCGGCCTCGACGAGCCGCCCGTGGCGTTGGGCACCGTGGCGACGCTGCCCCTCGCGAGCAAGGCGGGCGAGGCCTCGGACTGGGCAGACGGTGCACCGCGTGACCACCACCTCGACTCGGGCGCCGTGCTCACGGTGACGACGACCGTGCTCCCGGGTGTCCGTTAGAAGTTTTTAGTGGTCGGGGAACTTCGACAGCGTCAGGATGCCGCGGCTCCGGCCGGAGACCGCGTCGACGGCCGCGATGGCCTTCGCGAAGTCCGGTCCGTGCAACCACGACGGCTCCGTCTCCGGCCAGCAGTCCAGGACGAGGTAGCGGTCGCTCGCCTACCAAGCACGTCGGTAACGATTTTTCATCGTTTTCCCGGTCAAAAACTCTCGAAATTCGTCACGGCCGCAGGACGCGGTCGCTCGCCGCGTGGTGCGCGACGACGGGGCTGAAGTGGCCGCCGAAGGGCGCCTGGCCCGCGACGGTCATGTCGTAGTTGGCGACGACGACCTCGTCCGCGCCGGACAACGACGCGTAGAGCGACTCCTCGAGCACGCACGCGGCCGTTTCCGCGTTCACGGGGCTCGCGCCGAGGCAGTGGAGCCGCGTCCGGCCCGCGAGGTCCGCGCACTCCTGGAGCGTGCAGCCGCTCTCGCGCGCGGCCGCCGGGTCCGTCGACCGGGCTAGAACGTCGTCCTCGTCCCAGGGCCCGTCGGGCCGGTGGGGACCCGACGGCTCGACGGTCTCCCAGCGCTCGATGTCGCGCCCCCAGCGCTTGTCGACGCCGAGGGCGTTGCAGACCATGGCCAGCGTGCAGGGCGCGCAGCACGTCTTGCCCACCTGCTTTTTCCAGTGGGGCCAGACCGCGTCGTAGGCGAGGGTGGAGCCGCACTCGGCGAGGAGCTTCTGGCCCTCGTCGGACGCGAGGGCGATGGGCGGCGCGCCGGCGGTGCGCGCGACGTTGGCGGCCATGACGAGGGACGCGGCGCAGGGGACGCAGGCAAGCAGGCCTCGCATAAGCTTTGCCACTAATGTTCAATCTCGCAAAGTACCGCCTCACGGTGAAGATATCCAGGCGAGCTGTTATTACGATCAGCGCTGCTTGCTCGTGGGCCGGCCCCCCACCGCCGCACGGTCGCACCCGGGTCGCCTGTGCGCCGCCCCGCGTGCGCCGCGGTCCGCCGGTGCCATGCCGAACAAGACCATCAAGGTCTGCGTGCGGACGCGGCCGACGGCGACCTTCGCCGCGGAGCAGATCGTCATCGACGGCGACAAGAACTCCATCGTCATCAACAAGAAGCAGACGGCGGAGGAGGCGGCGTCGACGCTGAACAACGCCCAGACGAACTTCAAGTTCCAGTTCCACCACGTGCTCCACAACGCGTCCCAGGACACGGTCTACGAGACTTTGGCGCGCGACGTCGTGCAGGACGTCGTCGACGGCATCAACGGCACGATCATGACCTACGGCCAGACGGGCAGCGGCAAGACCTTCACCATGCTCGGGGACATGAACAACTACATGCACCGGGGCATCGCGCCGCGCTGCATCGCCCACGTCTTCGCGGAGGTCGGCGCGCGCATCGAGACGGCGTATCGCATCTCGTGCACGTACATGGAGATCTACAACGAGCGCATCTTCGACCTCTTGAAGGCGCTGAGCGACGAGGACGCGCGGGCGGAGTACACCATCGCCGAGGAGCGGGGCGGGCGGGGTGTTTTTGTCCGGGGCCTGACGGAGGTCGAGGTGTCGTCCGAGGCCGAGGCGCTGAATTTGCTCTACTCGGGCCAGCTCGCGCGGACGACGGCGCAGCACAAGCTCAACCGCACGTCGAACCGCTCCCACTCCATCTTCACGATCGTCATCCAGCAGCAGTCGCGGTCCGGCGTGTCCGAGCGCGTCGTCACGTCGAAGCTGAATCTCGTGGACCTCGCCGGGTCCGAGCGGCTCAAGAAGACGATGGAGTCGAGCGACGGCGCGTCCGTGCCCATCGACGCGACGTTGAAGAAGGAGTCCATGTACATCAACCAGTCCCTGACGTACCTGGAGCAGTGCGTCGTCGCCCTCGGGCGCCGGGGCGGGGGCCACGTCGCGTACCGGCAGACGAAGCTGACGTCCGTGCTGAAGGACGCGTTGGGAGGCAACTGCGCGACGCTCCTGTTCGCCTGCATGTGGGGCGAGGCGGCCCACTTGGAGGAGACGGTGTCGACGCTACGTCTCGCGAGCCGCATGATGCGCGTGCAGAACTCCGCGCACGCCGTCGAGCAGGCGGACCCCGCGAAATTGGCCAAAAGGCAGGAGCTCACGATCCGCGAATTGCGCCAGGAGCTCCTCATGCACGACGCGTTGGCCGACCGCTCGGGCGTCAAGTACGACCCCTACACGCCCGAGGAGCAGCGCATCATCGCCGCGGCCGTGCGGCGCTACGCGACGGCCGAGGACGGCAAGGACGACGCGATCCTGGAATTCGAAAGCGTGCGCCAGATGAAGGAGATGTGCGCCCAGTTCAAGCAGTTGTTGCGGGACGCCGAGGACCGGGCCCAGCGCGCGGCGACGGCGGCGTCGGCGTCCATGTCCCACGGCAACCTCTTCGGCGGCACGGGCGCGGCGCCGCCGACGGCCGGCGGCGACGCGGGCGACCTCGGCGCGACGCAGGCGGCCATGGAGGAGGCGGGCTTCGTCGGCGACGCCGAGGCGGGCCGGGGCATCTCCATCGGCCGCGCGGCGGACGGCGCGCGGCCGCCGACGACGGACATGGCGCCCAAGGCGCCCGCCGCGGAGGCCGCGGACCATCGGAGCCCCGACTCCGCGTCCGTCGCCGACTACTCGCGCGGCGGCGCGTTCGACGCTCTCGGCGGCGGCCTGAGCCCCGAGTCCTTCGGCGTCGACGCGTCGGACAAGGGCCGCGCCTTCGAGCACTACAAGCGCGGCGCGGGCGCCGCGTGCAACGCGCAGCTCGCCGCCGCGAAGCAGTCGCGCGGCGCCGCGCGCGGCGCGGCGAAACGGGCCGCGGTGGAGACGAACGACGCGAAGCTGGCCATCGACGCCGCGGCGCTCCAGCTCCGCGACAAGCGCGCCGCGCGCCGCGCGCGGGCCCGCGCCGCGGGCCAGGGCGAGGACGACGACGACGTCGTCGACGAGGAGGAGTTCTTCCTCATGAAGGCGGAGCGCGACGCGAAGCGCGCGTACCGCGACGCCCACGGCGACTGGATCAAGGCCAAGGCGGACCACGAGACCGCCAAGCTCGCCGTCGAGGCGACGAAGGCCCAGCTGCTCGACGACTTCCACAAGTGGTTCGCGGACGTGCAGCGCGAGACGGGCTTCGACGACGACGGCGGCGACGGCGACGACGACAAGCTCGACGACCAGGAGCAGTTCGACAAGATGGAGATGGAGCGCATCGTGTCCCAGGACCCCGACGCCCTCGCCTTCTTCCAGGCCCAGAAGACGCGGCGCGCGAACATGACGCAGAACCGGACGCACCTGCGCCAGCTCCACCGCAACAAGCGCGCCTAGGAGCCCGATTCGGCGATGCTTCGGGGGCGTAACTTTTTACGCGGCTCTCTACGCTTCGAGGGCGGCGACGAGGGCGCGGACCTGGGCCTCGAGCGCCGCGACGCGCGCCTCGAGGCCGTCGTTGCGCTCCTTGAGCGCGCCCACGGCCGCGGCGAGGAGCGGCGCGGCGCGGCCGTAGGCGACGGCCTTGTAGCCCTCGGCGTCCTCGGCGACGAGCTCGGGGAAGATGGGCTCCAAATCCTGCGCGAGGAAGCCGACGTCTCGACCTTTGGGGAAGTTGCGCGACGGGAAGTCGCCGTTCTTGTAGGCGTAGGTGTAGGCCGGGACCTGGGCGAGCCCCGCGAGGGCCAATTCCGGGTCGATGGCCGTGAGGTTCGTCTTGAAGCGCGCGTCCGACGAGTCGATGTACGCGCCCGAGCCCATGACCGTCCCCGAGACGACGACGGACCCGCCGAAGAAGCCGTCGCCCTTGGCGTCGACGTCGCCGCGCACGACGAGCTTGCGGGGCACGTCGAGGGAGTGCTCCGCGTCGAGGTGGAGCGACGGCTCGCCCTCGAGGCTGCCGCCCGCGCCCGCGAGGACGAGCGGCCGCCGCGACGCGTCCGCCGGGTCCAGCGTCGAAATCAGCGCGACGTCGGCGGCGACGAACTCCAGGCCCGCGGCGCCGCCGCCCTCGAGCATGGCGCCGCGGATGACGTGGCCCGAGGCGTCGAGGTCCGCCGCCAGGGCGCCGACGGCCGCGGTCTCCGCGGCGAAGTCGCCGCACCGCGCGACCAACCCCCCGGCCTCCGCGGGCGCGAGCGTGCCGTTGGCGTCGAGGAGCGCCAGCGTCCCCGCCGGCGCGAGGGCCGAGCCGTTCTTCGGCAGCACCTGGACGTCCTCGACGGAGACGCGCGCGATGCCCTCGAGCGACCCGCCGACGATCGCCGCGCCCCGGAGCTCGTGGCCCCCGAAGGCGACGTCGCCCCGCACCTCGAGGGCCGCGCCGCCCGCGCCGCCGAGCGCCGGCGCGTACAAGGTGCCGTTGTAGACGTAGACGTCCGGCCGCGCGCCGAGGCCGCCGCCGGGTCCGAAGAACGCAAAGCGCTCGAAGCCCTCCGGCGGCCGCGTCGCCGCGCCGGGCGCCGCGTCGAGCGTGAAGGCGCGCGCCGCGACGACGCTCAGCCCGACGGCGGCGCCGCCCTCGAGGCGCGCGTCGCGGATCGCGTGGCCGCCGAGGTCCAGGGGGCCGTCGACGGCGCCCGCGACCTCGAGGCGGCCGACGCTCAGCTTGCCCCGCTTGCCGCCCGCGGGCGCCTCGAAGACGAGGTCGCCGTCGCGCCGCAGCGCGCCCTTGTCGTCGAGGAAGACGACGCGCCCCGCCTCGCCCTCGCCCGCGCGCACGGCGAGGTCCCTGGCGCGCACCGCGAAGTCGCCGACGTCCAAATCCGCGGCGGCGCGGAACCGCTCGACGCCCTCGATGGTCTTCAGGTCCCCGGCCTCGACGGCCGTCGACAGCGCGTCCCAGCCCCCGCTCCGCGACCGCAGGAAGGCGCGCGTCGCGCCCGGGGGCACGCTGTGGCCGCCTAACGTGGCGACGTCCGCGTCGCCGTTGCGCACGAACAACAGGCGCCCCGCGGCGTCGGGCGCGTCGCGCGCGTCGCCGCTGCGCGCGTCGGCGACCGTCAACACGTTCGCGGGACTTTTGGCGCCGTCGTCGGCGATGTCGACGAGCGCCGCGTCCGCGGCGACGGCGACGGCGCCGGCGGCCGGTTTCGCGGCGGACCGCGCGAGGTGCAGGTCCCCCCGCAGGCGGAGCGCGCCGCCGACGTCGACGGGGCCCGGCGTGCGCAGGCCCCCGGCGGCGACGACGCCGCCGCCGCCGTCGACGGCGAAGACCTCCGCGCCCGCGACGGTGCCCTCCAACAGCCGCGCGGCCGCGGCCGAGAACGCGGCGCCCTTGGCCGCCTTGGGCGCCGCCAGTTCGAGCACCGTGCCCAGGAAGCCCGGCGCCGTCGCGACGGCCCTGAGCGCCGGGCCGCCGGCGCTGCTCGACGCCGCGCTGAGCCCGCCGTCGGAGACGTCGAAGCCGCCCGCGACGTCCAAACCCCCGGACTTCAACCTCAGGCCGCCGTCGACGTCGAGGCCGCCGGCCTCGACGCGCACGCCGCCGCCGGCGACGCGCAGGCCGCCGGCGGCGATGGCCACGCCGCCGGCCTCGAAGGTCGCGCCGTCCTTGCCGACGGTGAGCACCGGTTCGCCGTCGCCTGGGCAGGAAAAGAGTGATTCAAGTTCGCTTCAACGTGAGTGTTCCGCGCGCGCGCGTTCCGGAAAAATCATCCACGCTTCGAGGCCGTTCCAAGAGATGATCGCTCGTCCAAAAATCAGCCGAAACGAGTGGAAAACGGCCGAGAAAGGAGCCTTTGAAGTTGGGAATTTCGCTCTCTTTTCCTGCCCTGGCCGTCGCTCTCGAGGCGGAGGAGCGCGCGCGACGCCTTGGAGCCCTTGACGACGACGACGTCGGCGCCGCCCGACGCGACGAGGGCCGACCCGCCGTCCGGGCCCGCGAGCGTCGCACCGCCGGCGACGTCGAGCGCGCCGTTCTCGACGGCGACGTCGCCCGCTCGCACCGCGACGCCGCCCGCCGCGACGGAGACGCCGTCGGAGACGTCCAGCCCGCCGAGCGCGGCGACGCGGCCCGCGGAGACGAGGCCGTCGGGCCCGACGAGCACGGACGCGTTCGCGGACCCGACCATCATCGCGTAGGTCGTCGTCGTCCCCACGTAGAGCAGTTCCCCCGAACCTTCGACGCTCACGGCCGTGGCGCCCGCGCCCGCGGAGAAGACGGCGCCCCGCGTCGCCTCGACGAGCCCGCCGGCCGTCAGCCCCCCCTTGAGGTCCAGGGACCCCGCGAGGTCGACGTCGCCGTTGCCCTTGAGGTTCACGGCGACGTAGTTCGCCGCGACGCCCCTCATGAACGAGAAGTCGCCGCTCGGCGCCCGCTCGCTGTCCAGGTTCAGGATCGACCCCGCGTAGAAGGGCCCCTCGGCGTAAAAGGTCTCGATGGCCGTCGTGTCCGTGTTGTCGTCGCAGTTCGCGTTGTGCCAGCCCTCGGAACAAATGCACTGCCCCGTCTCGCGGTCGCAGCGGCCGTGGTTGCTGCACTCGACGTGCTCGCGCACGTCCAGCGCCATGCGGTCCTCGATGAGGCACTGGGGCAGGTCCCAGGCGTCGCCGGGCAGCGTCGAGACGCAGCTGAAGGCCGCGAGCGACGGGTTCCCGTAGTGCGGATCCTCCGCGTCGTGCGGGAAGGACGCGAACTCCTCGAAGCGCACGACGATGGTCGTCTCGCCGCGGTTGCCCACGGCGCCGCGCTCGCAGGTCGCCAACGTGACGCCGGGGAGGCCGCTGAGCATGCGGCCGCACGTCGCGTCGTCGTTGTCGTAGCCGGACGCGGGGAACGTCACGGACTTGCCCAGAAAGCCGAAGCGGAAGAGGCCGTCGACCATGGCGTCGTTCGCGGGCAGCGTCTGGATGGTGATGGCCCGCGTGTTCTGGTTGCTCGTCAGGGGGTCGTCGCCGCGCGGGCAGTGCGCCGTCTCGCAGGCCTCGCCGGCGAAGCCCGGCTCGCAGATGCACACGGCGTCGCTGAGCGACGCGTCCGGGTTCGAGCAGTAGCCGTGGCGGCTGCAGGCGTTCGGGCAGATGGCCGCCACGTAATATGCCGCCTGGGCGACGAGCACGGCCCGAGAGAGCACCACCATCGTGCACCACTGGCACTCGAGCTCGACGGGCAGCCTTTGAAGCACCCGCCTCCGTGTCCCTAAAACCCCGGCGACGGCGCCGCGAGAGCGCCCGCAGCGAAGCGAGGGCGCGCCGAAGCGTCCGGAGCCGGGTGGCCTTTGTTCAAAGTTGAAGTCCTTTTGCGCATACGCGCCGCTTTAGCGCACCGCGGCCTCCGGCCGCCCCCCGCCGGCCGCGCCGCGGTGGTGGCGCGTGTGGACGACGGGCTGGTCGAAGTGGGGCCCGCGGCCCGCGGCCTCCGTGTCGTAGTAGGCGCGGCCGCGGTCGTCGCCCTTGGGCAGGGACGCCATGGTCATGGCCGGGTCCACGAAGGAGCGGATGTCGAGGTGCGCCGGCGTGAAGTGGCCGATGAGGGATTTGCGCGTCGTGCGTACGTCGCCCGCGAGGGAGCCGTGGACGAGCCACGAGTTCCAGACGAGCGCGTCGCCGGCCTTGAGGTCCGGGGCGAAGACCGCGCCCGCCCAGGGCCCCGCGACCTTGGCGTCGAGGTAGGCGTTGACGGCGTTGAGCTCGAGGGAGCGCGTCGGGAAGGCGTCGGTGACGTTGAAGAGGCCCGGGACGAGGAAGAAGCGGTCGCCGCCGGGCGCCGTGTCCTCGAGCGCGACCCAGACGCCCCGCAGCTCGCCGCTCGGCACGCTGTCGAAGTAGTAGTAGTCCTGGTGCGCCGTCGTCCGCGAGTATTCGAAGTAGGCGCTGCGGTAGAGGAGCTGGGACGCGTGGCCCGTGATCTTTTCCAGCAACGTCGCGACCTCGTCGCCGAGCAGGACGTCGCGCGCCGCGGCCGCGAGACCCGCCTCTTCCCGCGACCCTTGGAAGGCGTGGAGGTCCTTGATGGGCGAGTAGTACACGTTGTCGTCCGCGTTCGCCTCCCGCTTCTCGTTGATCCGCTTGAGCGGCCGCCGCGCGGCGCGCGCGGCCTCGACGGCCGCGTTCATCGCCGCGACCTTCTCCGGCGGCACGAGCCCCCGGGCGAGCGTGTAGCCGTGGGCCGCGTGGAAGCGGAAGAGCTGGTCGTCGCTCGCGGCCGTGGGGCGGCTCGCGATCGCGCCGCTGTCCTCGAGGACGAGGCTCCGCTCGCCGTCGTGCTCGCCGACGTAGGCGTCCATGAGCGCGGCCAGCGACGCGCGCCCGGCGAGGGCGCCGGCGCCGTCGACGAGGGGCCGCCGCGCGCCGGCCTCGAGCAGCGCCTCGAGCCCCAGGGTCAGGGCGTCGAGCCGGGTGTTTATGGTCTGGAGCTCGTCGGAGCGTTCGCCGCCGACGAGGCGCCGCCGCCGGGGCGCGCCGTCGTCGTCGTTGGAGCGCAGCACGAGGCCGCAGAGCAGCCCGCCGACGAAGACGGCGAGGGCCTGGCGGGGAAGCAGCATTATTAGACCATCGTTTAGGAGGGGCTTTCTTGAAGCGACGGTGCCTCCGTTGTTTGATGATTCGAACATGGTAGCCTGAATTATGCCTTGGACGTGCGGAGTTTGTAAGCGCGATAATTCTGGTGCCTTACCCAGATGTCGCGTCTGCGGCGCAGCTTGGAACTACGAGAAGCCGTGGCTCGACAGGCTGAGGGCGGCGGAGGCGGCCGCGGAGCAGGCGAAGCTGGAGGCGGAGCAGCGGAAACTGGCGGAGTTTCGGAAGAAGGCGGCGACGGCCGCCGCCGCGCACGCGGCGAAGCTGTCGGCGATATGCCGGAAGGAGCAGGAGCGGCGGGGCGTCAAACGTGAGCTTTTCGGGGAGGAGGAACAAGAATCGGATTCAGACGAAGACGAAGACGAGGCCGAAGTAGCAGCAGTAGAATTAGAAGAAGGCTTGCATCCCGCGAAAAGGGTTCGCGCCGCCGTCGACCGGATCGAGGCTTTCCTTCCCTATTTGCCGCCAGTTCCCGCAGCGCCCGCGGCAGCGACCGACCCAATATCTACCGTCACACCGCCGCCGTTCGTGATGGAGCTCACGGAATGGGACGATCTGAGCGACGCGCAGCGTGCGTTCTACTACAACAACTGCGAGGGCTACTACAGCATCCTCAAGATGTGTCATCCAACGCACGTCAGTGCGTACGAGGACGCGCGGAACGCGCGCCGCGCCGCGGACGAGGCGCTCGTCCGCCTCTCTCTCTCCTTCCCCTTTCACCCAGACGCCAGTCCCGCCGACGCCGCCAGCGCCCTTGACCGGCTCCTTTCCCAACTCAGACCGGTTCTCAAACCGAAGTGGGAGTGAGTTCTGGGAGCCTGAGGGCTCGAACGAGTCCTGGTGCCAATCTAGACGCGCATATGCATTAACGCCCCCCTCAGTTCCAGATGAGGTGCGTCAGGGAGATCTGGAGGTCGCCGGACGTGACGCGGAAGCCGATGACGTTGTCGCCCTCGACGACGTTGTGCGTCGTCGAGAAGCACGCGGACGCGATTCCCAACGTCTTCGACTCGAGCCAGATCGTCAGCTTGTCCATGACCTCCTCCTGGTTCACGACGATGAGCGCGTACTCGTCGAACTTCTGGGACTGGAAGTCGCCGCAGAAGCCGATCAGGCCGCCGTCCTGGACGTTGGGCACGTTGAAGAAGACCCAGTGCGACTTCGCGTTGCCGACCAAAGACCGCTTCTCGTCCTTGTAGTGGCACTTCGTCTGGCCCTGGTTCGTGATGTCGGCGACGCGCGGCGACGGGTGCTGCATCTTCCAGCCGTTGAGCCCGAGCTGGGGGTCCACGAGGTCCACGAGGGACCGGCCGACCTTGGGCTGCCACGTCATCGCGCAGTTGAACGTCGCGGAGCAGAACGGGTCCTTGCACTCCTTCACCAGCGGCGCGTGGAGGGCCTCGCGGTCCCGGGGCTGCAAAGCCCAGCGCGCGTGGTCCGACGGCGGCACGGACCCCGCGGCGAGCAGCTGCTTGTAGTGGTCCACGGCCGTCTCGAACAGGTCGAGGTACGCCAAAGCCATGTGGACGCCGCGGAACCGCTGCATCTTCCAGCCCGCGTGCCATCGCACCTGGCCCGGGCACTCGCAGGCGCCCTCGCAGAACTTGTCGTTGGCGACGCCCGGCGACTTGGCCTTGTTCAGCTGGTTGTAGGCCTTCATCTCGTCGATCACGTGCAAGGCGCCCTCCGCGTGCGCGTAGTGGAACTTCTTCAGGTAGGGGTTGTGGCGCTTGAAGCACACGAAGGGCGCGCGGGGCTGCATCAACGCCTGCCGCACGTAGAGCTCGCCCTTGATCTCGTCGCGCTCGACCATGCGAAAGTCCCAGACGACGACGTCCGCGTCCCGGCCGAAGTTGTCCTCCATGCACACGCTGTTCGGGAACGACGGCACGCCGCCCATGGCCATGTTCCGCACGTGGAAGTTGATGCCCGCCGTCCCGAACACGTCGCGCAGCACGTCGTTGCAGACGTTCGGGTACGACTCCTCGAAGAGATTCCCGTGGCCCGCGACGTCGGACATGCCGCCGACGGCGATGACGAAGCTGTCGCCGAGCGCGAAGGCGCGGAGCAGCCGCTCGACGACCTTGCCGCGGCCGTGCTCGTCGTCGAGGAACTCGACGCCCTGGCGGAGCAGCGCGGCCTCGACGCCCTCGCCGTAGATGGCCAACAGTTTACTCCGCGTTGCCGCGATCGCCGTCTCCACCTCCGCGACCTTGGCCGCGTCGGGCGCGCAGTACGTGCGCGCGACGGCCAGGGCGAGCGCGGCGAGGCGCAGCATGGTTTCGCTTCGCGACGGCGCGCGCGACGACGCTGCTCGTCGCGATGACCTCGACGCGTGGCCGACCTTTGCCTCAGCGCAAACCAGTCGCTAAGAAGCGGCAGCTCTCCCGTCGGTCTGGTCCGGCCGCTCCGTGTCGCTCCTCGGGCCTCGTTCAGCCGCTCCGGCAACACGCAAACGATGGCCAGCTTCGCCACGAAGCCCCACACCACCACAGTCGTCGACCCGTCCGACGAACGCCAGGTGAAGGCCGTCTGCGTCGAGCTCGGCTTCTTCGAGACCACCGCTGGCATCCAACTCCAGAGCGTCACCGGCGGCATCACGAACCAGCTCTTCAAGGCGTCGTCCGGCGGCCGGAGCGTGCTCGTGCGCTGCTACGGCGGCGAGGGCCTCATCGACCGCGACGTCGAGCTGCGGACCTTCGCGGCGCTCTGCGAGCACCTGGCGAAACCGGGCTTCCTCGGCAGCTTCGGCAACGGGCGCCTCGAGGAGTTCCTCGAGGGCCACGCGACGCTGGCCCTGGACGACATGGGGACGCACGCCGCCGCCATCGCGGCGAAGCTCGCGGCGCTCCACGCCTTCCGGGTGCCCGAGGACCTGAAAACGCACCACGGGTCGTGCGGTCTCTGGGCGACGTTGGACGGCTGGCTCGCGGCGGCCTTCGACGCAAAGACGGGGCTCGCGCCGCTCGTCGCGCGGGACGCGGGCTGCGCCGGCGTGTTCCGGCGCCACGGCGACGTCTTCGACGGGGCGCGCATCACCGCGAGCGTCGAGAGGCTCAGAGCCGAGGCCGAGGCGCGGGCGCCCGAGCTCGTCTTCGCGCACAACGACCTCCTCAGCGGCAACCTCATGGTCGACGAGGCGTCCGGCGAGGTCCGCATCATCGACCTCGAGTACGGCGGCGTGAACTACGCGGCCTTCGACATCGCGAACCACTTCAACGAATACGCGGGAGGCACGGGCCAGCCGGAGACCGCGCTCGGCGCCCCCGACGCGGCGCGGCTGCCGGGCCGCGCGGCCAAGGAGGCCTGGGCGCGCGCCTACCTCGCCGCGCGGCCGACGAGCGCCTACGGGTCCGTCGACGCGCTCCTCGCCGACGTCGAGCTGTTCGTCGTGCTCGACGATTTCTACTGGGGGCTCTGGGCCGTGTGCCAGGCGACGACGGAGGGCTGCTTCGATTTCCCCTATCTGTGCTACGGCAAGAACCGGCTCCGGTCGGCGCTCGTCGGGTCTGCCGCGCTGGAGGGTTCGTGTTTCGCCTTCGGCGTCGCCGTGCCGGATTTGGGGGAGATTCCCAAGGACGCCGCGGGGGCCGTGGTGCTCTACGACAAATGGGCCGCGACCTACGACGCGGCCCTGCGGAGCTGGGGCTATTGCGCCCCGGAGATGTGCGCGGCGCTCGTCGCCGAGGTGAACCCGCGCGTCGGGCGGTTGTTCGACTGCGGCTGCGGGACGCAGGGCAGGACAAGAGAGCGAAATTCCCAACTTCAAAGGCTCCGATCTCGGCCATTTTCCACTCGTTTCGGCTGATTTTTGGACGAGCGATCATCTCTCGGAACGGTCTCGACGCGTGGATGTTTTTCTCGTGACGCGCGCGCGCGGAACACTCATGTTGAAGCGACGTTGAATCTCTCTTGTCCTGCCCAGGCGGGACGGGGCTCGCGGTCGACGCGCTCCGGCCCGCGCTCGCGGCGGCGACGGCCGTCGTCGGCGGCGACATCTCCCAGGCGTCCCTCGACCGCTGCGCGGCCCGGGGCTACACGGCGACGCGGCGCATGGACCTCGAGGACCCGTTGCCGCTCGAAGGGAGTATCTTTGACGCCGTCGTCTGCGTGGGCGTCCTCAGCTACGTCCGCGACTTCAGGCGGCTCTTCGCGGAGTGGTGCCGGATCACGTCGCCGGGCGGCGTCGTCGTCTTCACGCACCGGGCCCACCTCTGGCACGGCGACGACGCGAGCCGGGAGGCGGCGCGCGAGCTCGAAGCCGCGGGCACATGGACGCAGACGTTCGCGAGCGAGCCGCGGCCGTACATGCCGAACAACCCGGACCCGGACGAGCGCGCCAAGACGATCGTCTGCGCGCGCTTCATCGTGGCTTAAACTTCGTTTTTTTTTAGCTTCGAAAGTAGCTTCGAGATGGGTGCCGGCCGACTCGCGCTTCGTCGTCTTAGGGGGACCGACCTTCGGTGCTTGCGGGGAGGAGGGCCGGCGCGCGGTGCGCGCGGCCTAGTCCTGGTTCGAGCCGCCGGTCCACTCGAGGCCCGCGGCGCGCGCGGCGACGGACGCGTCGTCGGACGCGATGGCCTCCATGTCGGACATGTAGCCGCGGAGCTCGCGGCCGATGACCTCGACGGGGTGGTTCCGGATGGCGGCGTTGATGGCGTTGAGCTGCTGGTTGTCGACCTGGTTCGAGCCCGTGTTGAACTTGGTGCCGATGACGTCCGTGTCGATCTTCGCGTAGAAGTCCTTGAGGAGGGGCTTGCAGGCCTGGTCGTAGAGGTAGCAGCCGTACTCCGCCGTGTCGGAGATGACGGAATTCATCTCGAAGAGCTTCTTGCGCGCGATGGTGTTGGCGATGAGCGGCGTCTCGTGGAGCGACTCGTAGTACGCGGACTCGGCCTTGATGCCGACGGCGGTCATCGCCTCGAACGCGAGCTCGACGCCCGCCTTGACCTCGGCGACCATCAAGACGGCGTTGTCGAAGTACTCCTGCTCGGGGATCTCCATGGGCCCGGCGGGCGTCTTCTCGAAGCCCGTCTCCGCCGTCTCCGCGCGCCACTTCAAGAGGTTCGCGTCGCCGTTGTCCCAGTCGGCCATCATGCCGGACGAGAACGCGCCCGTGATGATGTCGTTCTGGTGCTTCTGGTAGAGGGGGCGCATGATCTCCTTGAGCTCGTCGGCGAGCTCGTAGGCCTTGACCTTGGACGGGTTGTCGAGGCGGTCCATCATGCCCGTGATGCCGCCGTGCTTCAAAGCCTCGGTGATCGTCTCCCAGCCGTACTGGATGAGCTTGGACGCGTAGCCCGGGTCGACGCCCTTCTCGACCATCTTCTCGAAGTTGAGCACGGCGCCCGTCTGGAGCATGCCGCAGAGGATGGTCTGCTCGCCCATCAAGTCGCTCTTGACCTCCGCGCAGAAGGAAGATTCCAACACGCCCGCGCGGTCGCCGCCCGTCGCGACCGCGTAGGCCTTGGCCTGGGCCATGCCCAAACCTTGGGGGTCGTTGGGCGGGTGCACGGCGATGAGCGTCGGCACGCCGAAGCCGCGCTTGTACTCCTCGCGGACCTCCGTGCCGGGGCATTTCGGCGCGACCATGATGACCGTGAGGTCGTCGCGGACCTGCATGCCCTCCTCGACGATGTTGAAGCCGTGGCTGTAGCAGAGCGTCGCGCCCTGCTTCATGAGGGGCATGATGGCGCTGACGACCTGCGTGTGCTGCTTGTCGGGCGTGAGGTTGAGCACGATGTCCGCGGAGGGGATGAGGTCCTCGTACGTACCGACCTCGAAGCCGTTGCTCTGCGCGTTCACGAAGGACGCGCGCTTCTCGGCGATGGACTCGGCGCGCAACGCGTAGGACACGTCGCAGCCGGAGTCGCGCATGTTCAGGCCCTGGTTGAGGCCCTGCGCGCCGCAGCCGACGACGACGCACTTCTTGCCGGCGATGGCCTCGATGCCGTCGTCGAACTCGCTCCGGTCCATGAAGCGGCACCGCGCGAGCTGGTCGAGCTTCTCGGCCTGGCTCAGGGAGTTGTAGTAGTTGAGGCGCTCCGCCGAGGCCAGCGTCGCGGCCTTGACCGTGCGCGCGCCGAAGCGGCTCGCCGGCGTCGCCGTCGGGGCGAAGGCCGTCGCCGTCGCCGCGAGCGCGACGAGGAGCGCGGACGTCATGGTGGTCACGGGCGTGGCTGTGAGACGGAGGCGGCGCGACCTTCTCGTGGACGCGCGCGACGGCCTGAGAACCGCACTTGACTTTGCGAACGCCGTCGACACGGGTGGGTGCTAGCGGCGCCGCTTCCCTCGCCAATGGTTTGCATCTCATTCAACATTGAAGGTGAACTTAGCTGCCCCTCGGTGTCCGCAGCCATCGACGCCGGCGTCTTCTGCCGCGCCGTCGAGCACCGCTGGGACCATGGCCGCGTACCAGCGCGGCAACTCCTTCAGCGACGCCATGCCGCCGCCGCCGGTCGACGACCGCGACCCCAAGGACGAGGCGCCGGACCCCAACGCGAGCCCTTACAAGGGCATGCAGTCCCTGGGCAGCGGCGACGGCGGCTTCCCCCAGTTCTACAAGCGGCCGAACGACGACTTCGTGACTTTGGGCCACGACCCGCCGCCGGACGGCGCCATCGCCGCCGAGGAGCCGCCGGCGAAGCCCTGCTTCCAGATCAAGCGGCGCCGGGATCACGACAAGATGATGAAAAAGTCCAAGGACGGCGTCGTCATCATGGCCGCGACGACGGCCTGGGACCTCTACTTCGCCATCCCCTGGTTCGACGCGCTCGCCCACGAAGAGGACACCGTCGCGCACCTCTGCAAGGTCGACCTCGACTCGTCGTTCACGGAGTTCATCTTGGACAAGTACGACTGCCAGTACCGCCCGACCTACTTCTACATCAAGGACGGCGAGGTCGTCGACACGACGCTGGGGGACACGGAGACGACGGAGGAGTACCTGACGCACTGGGCGAAGCACGGCCGCGCGAAGGAGGGCCTCAAGCAGACGGAGGTCCCCGACTTCCTCAACATGGGCAAGGAGGAGGAGGGCGACGACGACGACGAGGCGGCGACGACCAACGGCGCGGACTCGGAGCCGCCGCCGGAGGGCGACGAGTAGGGGGGTGGGTAACGGTGTTGCCGCGCGCGAACATTACAGCCCCTTCTCCTTCGCCTCGAGGATGAGCGAGAGCTGCGCGAGGCGCTCCTCGAGCTTGCGCTCGACGAGCTCGAGGCGCGCCTGGGCCGTCTCTACGGCGAGGAGCTCCTGGCGGCCGAGCGCCGGGTCGACGAGGTTGCCGAGCGCCGCGGCGACGGCGAACGCGAGGCGCTGGCGCCGGCGGTGGCCCGGCCACGACGCCTCCGCGGCGACGGACCGCTCGTCGACGAGCGCGCGCGCGGCCGCCTCCAGGTCCGGCGGCGCCAGCGCCAGCAGATTCGTCGGCAGCTGCACCGCGGACCGCTCCAGGCTCGCGCCGTCGGCCTCCAGACACCGCGCGAGGACGGCGCAGTTGTCGGCGACGAGCGCCCACACGCGCCGCTCGAGGGCCGTCGAGGAGGCGTCGAGGTCCGCGTCCTCCGGAGGCCTCAGGTTCGCGTCGAGCGGCGCGAGGTCCGCGACGGCCGCGGTGCCCCCGGAGAGGCGCACGCCGCCGACGCCGTACTCGAAGGGCCGCCACCGCTGCGCCTCGTCCTCGCCGCCGGGCACGTCGCCGTCGAGGACCCAGGCGCAGTCCGCGCGGAAGTGGGGCACGCTCTGGGTCACGCTTTCGACGCGCAGCCGCCCGACGCACTGCGAGACGACGAGGAGCCGGCCGTCGCCCTGGCGCGCGACGGCCAGCACCTCCATGCACGCGCCCAGGCGTTCCGCGTACTTTCCGTCCGGGAGCACGTACTCGGGATTTCGTAAGTTCTCCGACCCGCCGGGCAGGTAAAAATGCCCGAAGAACCAGGGCCGCGGCCGCCGCACCAAACGCTCGAACATGGACGTGTAGTGGGGCACGTGGACGTTGTAGACCTGGCGCTCGCCGGGAAGCGCGTTCCACTGCACGCGCCAGAGCGGCAGGTCCGCGAGCTCGCCGCCGTCCGCCGCGTCGTCGCCGCCGCTGTAGAAGAGGTCGTTGAGCCGCTTCACCGTCTCCGACCGGTCGTCGGCCGCGGCGCGGAGTGGCGCGGATCTTCCGAGCTGTTGCTGGAGACCATATGTGCGTGGCTGCAAGAGGCCATGCGCCGTCGCCAGCCAGCACACGAGCAGCAGTCGTGACATCTCTGAGATTTTCGAGCCCATGCCTCGAGAGAGAAAGGCAATGAGGCTTCAAACAGACCTTCAACTTGCGAAAGATACCCTTAAAGCAGCCAGCCCCGGTGCTGACCGACCACCTCGGACGTCGCGAGGGCCCGCGCGTAGGCGCGCGCCTCGAGGATCGTGCCGGCGTAGGTCGCGCCGACGGTCACGGTCCCGCCCGGGACCACGGCCGCGAGCGTCGCCGGGAGCCAGGTCCAGCCCTTGCCGACGACGCCGCCGCCGTCGCAGAGCGCGCCGTCGACGACGACGAAGGCGAGGCGCGGGCCCGCGTCGGCGACGACCGTGAACGCGTGGGGCCCCGGCTTTGAAAGCTTCGCGGCGCACGCCCGGTCGGCCGTAAAATCCAAAGCCGCGCCGCCGGCGCCCTTCACGAGGAGCCGCGGCGCGCCGTTCGTCCCGACGACGAGCTGCACGGCGGCGTCCGACAGAAGCAGTTCCCCCTCCTTCGACGCGTTGTGGCCGGCGACCTTGAAGGACAGCGCGAAGCCCTGGCGCGGCTCGGACACGTTTCGGAGGTCGGGCCACGCGACGGCCGGGAACGAGCCCGACGTGCCGTTCACCACGAGGCGATCCGCGTCCGGCTCGCCCGCCGCGGACTCCTGCGCGAGCAACCCCGCGACCAGCGCCGGGTCGAGGTCGACGAGGAAGAACGTCGACACGTGCGTCGGCATGCCTTTCTGCGCCAGCGCGACCTTGACGGCGCCGTCGGCGAAGAGGAAGTCGGGGTAGCCGCCGGCCGCCGTGCCCGTCGTCGGGTAGGAGCGGTCGAAGATGGCGACCTCGGGCTGGGACCACAGCAAAGACCCGTCCGGCGCCTCGCGGCCCGCGGAGAGCCAGTAGGGGTTGCGCACGCCGTCGACGTGCGAGTTGTAGAAGAGCAAGAGGAAGCGGTCCGTGCCCGGGATGCGCTTCGCCGTGAAGGGGGCCCTCGAGCTCTTGACCGAGGTGACGAAGGCGCCGAAGTCGCCGAGGGGCTTCGACGGGTCCAGGGGGTCGGCGTACCTCGCCAAAGTCGTCGGCCGCCAGCCGCTTCGCCCGGTATCGTCGCGCGTCGTCGCCTCGAAGAGGAGGCCCCGGTTGCTCCGCGTTAAAATCGTGAACCCGGTCCCGTTCGCGAGCGGGAGCAACTTCGGCTCCTCGATGACCGTGGTCTTGTTGTCGAACTGGGGCGGCGGGACGATGCCGTGGTCCCCGCTCGGCACCATCTCCCACGTCACCTCGTCCTGGTCCGGCTCCGTCAGCAGATTCGGCGAGAACATGACGAAGACCTCCTCCGGCGGATTCTCGACGTAGCCCCCGATCTTCGTGAACGCGAAGCCGACGCCGAAGGGCCCCGTCTTCATCTGGTCCACGGTCCAGAGCATCTGCGTGTCGCCTTTGAACGTGTTCTCCCGGTCGACGGCCGTGGCCCGCGTAGGCACCGCGTAGCGCTGGTCGGACCAGGTCGCGCCGTCGTCATCCGAATAGCGGCGGAAGAAGCCGCCCATCAAGTCGTTGCGCCCGGGCGCCGTCTTATTCTCCGAGTTGACGTTGTAGATGGCGTGGACGCGGCCCGAGGTCTCCTCCGCGACGACGGTCGCGTAGGCGTTCGGGTAGCCGCCCGACGCGATGCCCGCCTCGATGGTCGTCACGTTGGACCACGTCGCGCCGTTATCCGAGGTCGACGTCGCGTAGCACTGCTCGCCGCTGCTGCCCTCCCCGCCGAGCGACGCCGTCAGGACGCACGTCCAGGCCGAGGGGTAGTCGGACGCGCAGTAGGTCTGGTCGACGTAGCCGGCCTCGAAGACGACCTGCGCTTGCGTGACGTCGCGCGCGTCCGGGAAGGCCGACGGCGGGACGGGCGGGGCCGGGAGCGGCGTCGTCGTGGCGTCGTAGGCCCAGAGCCTTAAGTCGCCGCCGCAGCGCTCCTTCGTTTGTCCCGGGCTCGTCGTGCCCGAGCAGGTCGCGTTGCACTCGGCGTCGGGCGTCGACGTCGCACCGGCGGGGACGGCGTGGTCGCAGAAGCAGGCGTGGCCCGCCTCGACGCCGGCAATGCCATACTTTAACGCTCGGCAGGCCGCGGCGCAGTATTCGAGAGTGAGCGCCGTGCAGCCGCCGGTCTTGTCGCAGACCGTGTGCGCGAGGAGCCGCGCGTCGGCCGCGTCCTCGTAGCAGCCGGGCAGCGCGAAGGCCGCGTACGCGAGGAGCGCAAGCGCGAGCATCTCAGAACTTGATCGGGCCATCATCGGCGATGTTCAAAGATATAAACGACAAGTTGTTCATCAAGCGCGCTTTTCGTAATTCCTGCGCGAGCGATCGAGGCCTCAAACGCGCGGCGCTGCTGCCCGAGGCGGCCTATGCAACGGAGGCGTACGCCCCTGCGCCGCGCCCATTCCCCGAACACCACCGTGCTCGGCCTGACGCCGGCGGCGATGGCGCAGCACATCCAGGAGCAGGAGGAGCTCCGGCTTTTGAAATCGAAGAACAGCGCCATGCGGCGGCGCCTCGAGGAGAACGGGCGCTACCCCTGGTCGCCGGGCGGGCGGCCGTCGTCGGCTTTGAAGAAGACGTCGGCGTTGAGCCAGTGGGCGTCGACGAGCGGCGTCGCGCTCGCGGCCGCGACGGCCGGGGGCCGCGAGCCGCCCGCCGCGCCGCGCGCGACGCCCGCCGCGCCGGCCTCGGCGGCCTCCGCGACGTCCGCCCTGTCCGCCGCGTCCGCGGCCTCCAGGGCGTCGTCGTCGTCCGCCGCGAGCCCGAGCGCCGACGCGCTCCGCGCGGAGAAAGTCGCCGCGACCGTCGCGCTGTGGTCGAGGTCCGCGACGGCGACGTCGCCGCCGGCCCCCGCGCCGTCGCCGCCGCAGCAGTCCGCGCCGCCGCGGAGTCTCGTGCGCCGCGAGCTCACCTACGACGGCGCCGAGGAGGTCGCCGCGACCGCGCGCCTCGCGGACGAGCGGCGCCGCGCCGCGGAGCGCGACCGCGACGCGCTCCAGATCAAGTACGACGCGCTGGCGCGCGAGAACGCGGCGATCCGGCGCCAGGCCCTCGCGGAGATCGCCAAGTACCGGCCGACGCCCCTGAGCCGCCTCCTCGCCAGCCTCGCGTGCTGGGCGGGCCTGCTCCTCGCCGCGCTCGCGCTCGCGCGCGAGCTGCCCCGGGACGTCGTCCGCGACCGGGCCCACTAGGAGGGGCGGCGGCGTTGCGAGTGTACTAACCTTACTGGATGTACTTCGCGAGGAACCGCTTGTGGAAGTCGTTGCGGATCGTGTCGTTGATGAAGGTGCGGCCCTTCTTCTCCGGCGCGCCGCGGGCCTGGTTCCGGAAGACGACGTCGTCGTTCCACTTGCGCTTGACGGCGCCGCTGGGCTCGTCGTTGAGCAGCGGGTTCGTCGTCAAGGCCGCCGCGTCGCGCGCGGCCTGCGCGTCCGCCGCGGCCTCGGCCTCCTTGCGCAGGCGCTCGGCCTCGCGCTCCTTCTTGATCTTCTCGAGCTCCAGCGCCAGGGCGAGCTCGTCGTCGTCGTCGTCGTCGGAGTCGTCCGAGCTGTCGCTGTCGCCGTCGGACTCGTCCCGATCGTCGTACGCGTCGAGCTCGCCCGGCCGGAACGCCTCCTGCCCCAACAGCAGCTTGGGCTCCGGCGCGAGCGTCGGCGCCGCGGAGAGGAGGGGCCGCTCGACGGCGGCGTCCTCGCCGAGGTCCGCCTTCTCGATCTTCGACGCTCGGTCGTCGTAGATGCCGTCCAACTGATGGCCGGAGCGGTACTTCATCTTCAGGTGGTTCGGCCGGTCCCGCGCGTGGTTCATCATGGACCGCACGCCGCCGCTGCCCCAGACGCCATGCTCGTTCCCGTGCTCGCGGGCCGCCGTGAACGTCGGCCGGTGCGCCGTCGTCATCTTGGCGGTGCGTCGGCGGCGCGGCGGTCAAAGCGAGGAGGAGCGGGGGCGCGTCGAGCGTCGAGAGCGGCGGCGACCGTGCGGGGCGCCGGGCGGGGCGGGCGTGCGGCGCGCGGTGGACGGCGAGGCGGGCGCGGCCTGGTTGCGGAGAGGCGATCGAGTTCGCCGCCTCCGCCGTCGCAGTCCGCTTCGCCGCACCCGCCGCCCCGCCGCCGGCCGATCGCGCCGAGATGGCCGCCGCCGCGAAGCGCGCGCGCGTCTACTTCGACATCCAGATCGGCGCGCGGCCGCCCGCGCGCGTCGAGTTCGAGCTCTTCAGCGACATCCTGCCGCGCACCTGCGAGAACTTCCGCGCGCTGTGCACGGGCGAGATGGGCGGGAACCTGAACTACGCCGGGTCGGCCTTCCACCGCGTGATCCGCAACTTCATGATCCAGGGCGGCGACTTCACGCGCGGCGACGGCACGGGCGGGTCGTCGATCTACGGAACGAAATTCGAGGACGAGGGCTTCCAGTTCAAGCACACCTGCGGCCACCTGCTGTCCATGGCCAACGCGGGCCCGCACACGAACGGGTCCCAGTTCTTCGTCACGCTCCGGCCGACGCCCCACCTCGACGGCAAGCACGTCGTCTTCGGCCGCGTCGTCTCCGGCGCGGCGACGGTCGACGCCGTCGGCAACGCCAAGGTCGACGACGGCGACCGGCCCCTCGCGCGCGTCGCCATCGTCGCCTGCGGCGAGCTCGGCAGGGCGTCCGCGCCCGCGGAGGCCGCGAAGGCGGCCGAGGCGGCCGCGGCGCCGGCCGCGGAACCGGAGGCGGAAGAGGAAGAGGACGAGGAGGACGAGGACGAGGCGGAGGACGAGGCCCAGTTCGAGGGCAAGTCGGAGCTCGAGAAGCGCCTCTTGCGGCTCCGCATGCAGATGAACAAGGGCCGCCGGGCCAACGCGGCCGCGACGAAAGCCGAGCGGAAGAAGAAGAAGGAGGACCGCGACGGCAAGGTCGCGCGGCGCGCGGACCGCGCCGCCGACAAGCAGGCCTGGAAGGACGACCTGGCGAAGCGCGGCGTGCCCGAGGACAAGGCCTACCTCCTCGAGACCGCGGACTTCGCCGGCCGCCGGGAAGACGCGAAGCGGAAGAAGGAAAAGCGCAAGGCCGCGTTCGGCTGGGACGTCTTCAACGAGGACTCGAAGCACAAGGCCTACGAGAAGCGCACGGAGGCCCTGCCCGTGTCCGCGGACTGGGAGGAGCCCGTCGCGGATCTGGACCCGCTGACCTACGGCGCGGCGGGCTTCGACGACCCCAAGGCCGTGTCGCGCATGGCCGACGAGCTCGAGCAGCGCGCGCAGAAGCGGTCCGAGTTCTCGCGGCGCCGCACGGAGCTGCCCGGCGCCGACGTCGACTCCATCAACGACCGCAACAAGCACTTCAACAAGAAGCTCAAGCGCGCGTCGACAA